GTATACTCAACAGTAATGGCCGAATTCAAATAATTGTCAGCAGTTTATTACTTTACTTTGTCTTCCATTTTATTTTGGTACTAAAAATCAAGAAAAAAAATTTAACAGAAGTCAACACCCAGGCATACAAGTTTTCCTCGGATCTGCTGATTTCCTTGTTTTTAAGTTTTTGTGAATGCTATTACAAATTGAAAATACCATACAAAGTCTTGTGTGGTTACTTTTGGAGTTTCCTTGTTTTTTTCCCCTAAAGTCCCAGTTGCATGCCTGAAAACAGTAAACGTACATGAGCATTTGAATAATCATTATTTAGAAAAAAGTTTCCAAATATCTTTTGATAAAACACTGAGGCACACAGTATTTCAAAAGGGCTTGTTTGACTTTATAGAAATGATTCAGTACAATGTTAGGCTGTAACATGATTTATTTCAATTGATTATTTTGCTTGAAAAATATTCCTGAACTAGCAATTTGCTCCCTATGTTCCTCCAGTTACACAAATTAGGAAACTAGTATTTTTAAGTTGGTGACCAGTAATCCTTACCGTTTAGAGAAAACATATCCCCATCTATAGGCAAGAAAACTGAATGAGTCGGCGAACAATTCAATAAAAAGACAGTGACAGCAGTTTAATACTACATTCAACACATTTATTAGTAACGTAATGCTAAAAACACGATGGATGCAATCCTTAGCAGCCTGAGTAGGAAATGGACTCGTGCTTCGATTGCATGCCTCCACAGTGTGTGCTTCTACCCCAGTTTGAGTCAATACAGTGCTCGCTATGCAGCGCATCCAAGCCACACATTAAATAATGGATGTATGCGTACTCCCAGGCCCAACCAATAAGCATGTCGGCTCGTCACACTGATATGGCGGTGCAGTCTGGACCTCCAGCTGTACACAGTGCAGCGTATGACTCGTAGCGTAGTGTAGTGTAGACTTACCATCAAGTAAACTTTTCGTGTGCTCCGTGCCCTGGCTAGCAACAGACTGATGTGCTGTGCCTCTTCATGCAAGTACACCCTTAATGAAAGCGCACTATGCAACTGATCACGTGACGTGCTTCATAGCAACACTCCTAGCGATGTATTTTGCATTACAATGGCCCGACCTGAAAACTTAAACAAAATAGGCCCTAACTCACAAATTACATTAATAAAATTTTTTAATTTTGCCAACATACATAAAGGTACCTCTTGTTAACTGTGGTACTGGAGATGTCTTACAGTTTAGTTTGTTTTACTTAAGAGAATACTTCATGAACATTTTCATAACAATTTAAGAACCATTTAAGAACGTTTCCAAACAAGTTAAGAATAATTTTAAAACGTTTTAAGAGCACTTTAATAACACTTTAAATTATGGGATGTCTCTAATGGGAGCAGTACTCAGAAAGAATAATTTGGGACCTAACAGTTTGTTTCTTCTTAAGCTTGGCATCGAAGATGATGTCAAACACCCACATCCTCTTCTGTTCCTTGTTTGCGATGCTGGACTGAAACTTGGTGACAATGAGCATTTTTGTCACCTTGGTAGCAGTCCAGCTCAATGTCTCCTCAAGATCGATGTCTGGCACCAGCTCACTCGAACTGGTCCCAGTTGGACCAGTAAGTTTTTGATGCTGGACCACTTATTGATACAGCACTCTGGTATGGTCAACTGCTGCGTTTTTCTCCTTCAGAACCCAGGTTATGGATTACAGAAGTTTGCGAGTGATGACAGGGAGCCATGATCCGTCCGGTTAATAATCTAACGCCCATAGAGGTGTTGCGTTCAATGCTTGAGGAAGTGGACAACAGCTAGCAATAAACGCCTTGTTACACAGTAATTAGGTTTGGGTTTGGACGGGGTCTGCCTGATGTTTTCCAATATTTATGTTCCCCAGTACATTGTACCTATGTTCCCCCAATATCATTAGGGTTAGGCTTAGGGTTAGGGTTAGGTTTAGGATTAGATGGTTAGGACTAGTGCTTAGGGTTAGATGGTTAGGGTTAGATGGTTAGGGTTAGATGGTTAGGGTTAGATGCTTAGGGTTAGATATTTAGGGTTAGATTCTTAGGGTTAGATGCTTAGGGTTAGATGCTTAGGGTTAGATTCTTAGGGTTACATGTAGATGCTTCTAGGATGAGGGTTGTGGAACATGTAGGTATTGGGCAACATAGGTAGGCACCTGGTTGGGACAATGCCAGACTTGCATAGCCGATAACTCTTTCTTTCCCTTCCTAAACTTGCAAAAGAACTGCACCGATCCCATCCCTGCTGGCATCAGATCGAGTATGTATTGGCCCTCCAGTTGAGAATATCCCATGATAGGGGCCTCCTGCAATCCTGTCTTGAAGATGTTGAAAGAGCTGTCACACTTCTCGTCCCATGTGAAATCACAGTTCTTCTTGGTTAAACAGTGTACATGTACGTAGTGGCCGTACTTGTAGTGAGTGTATCTCGTTCTTCCAGTAGGAAGAAGACTTTGGAAAGTTACTCACAAAGGTTTGAATGGTATTTGTATGTTTGAGGGGTTTGTGCATGAGGTATGCAATTCTTGTTCGTCTTTGGTAGTGGTTAATATTATCAATTAGTAAGCATTGGGTGGGTTTGGCCGGAGTGGGAACAAAGTTAAAACCTTTACTCAGGACTGTTTTCTCTGATGTAGAGATGGATAGCTTACGATAGGTTGAATATAACGTGTTCATTGTTTGTTTTTTTTTTGTTTTTGGCCGAATAAGCTCGTGATTGGGTTTTATTTACTCAGTGGAGTTGTGAGTTGTGGCGAGTATAGCTTGTAGTTTGAGCTATGTTTTTATTTGCCTCACAGGTTTTGGTCAGTTTCTATTTGCTATCATATGTTACAGATTAGATTTAGATGCGGATTAAGTATCTTTTTTGAAGATGAAGTGGCTCAGAAAAGAGCCGTTTGTGTCTTTGTTGACCTGCTGATTGTTTCACCGTTTTCTCTTTTGTCCTCTCATTGGTGGTTTTCTGCTTAGGAAGTGGTGGAAAATCTTGAGACTCGTCTCGATGTCTTGATATTTGATGAGATGCCCCTCGATTTGTTCAATAGCTTGGTCTTGCTTGGTCTTGAAATTGGCCTGGTTTGTTTCCCTCAATTGTTGAAGGCTTTGCAGCATCAGCTTTATGAGTGTGATGGCAATAAAGCTTTATGAGTGATTGTCAGTTTTGCCAATCAAGACTTTTAGTAAGTACTGGAAACCGAAGTGTAATGGGATTGACTGCCAAATACTGGATGTGGATGTGGAGTTCTGAACAATTGTGTTTCTTGAGATGATTGGGCAGTAATTGACCCAGCATGAGCTTGATCATGGTTATTTCTTTGTTGAGCCGTGCAGTGTTTGTCGGCTGTACCTGTTCATCATTCAATCATTCATTCATTCATTCATTCATTCATTCATTCATTCATTCATTCATTCATTCATTCATTCATTCATTCATTCATTCATTCATTCATTCATTCATTCATTCATGCATTCATACAAAACATTTTATTGCTGATTATTATATGCATCACACTTTGTGATACATCTTAATTGAGTACCGGTCAGCCAATGCCAGCTGCTGGCTGTCTGCTGTGAATGTGATGCCATAGGGGTCGTACAGACCCTGGGCCACACAGCTGACAAACTGACCGGTACAGTTATAGTGGTGTATGTGACCGGTCTTGACGTACCCTGTGTCTGTTGCAATGTAGATACCGAGCTTTTGCTGCAAACACCCTTGCAGTATTTCACTGGTTTTCCGTCGATGGTTGGCCGGATTGTGTTTACAGTCACAGCGCTGCCATTAGAAACCTCCACTATCTCCACTAGTCCCTGCTCCCAATCACTGATCACAATCCAACCATTGCTCAGTACAGCCAAGAAGCCAGGTCGTATCTTTACTGGCATGGTATGTAGAATATCACCATCCCTGGGATCGAGCTCAATCAATTCCTTTTTCTTGAGACCCGCTATGATGTTACCATTTGGCATGATTGCTACGCTTAACAGGCTATTGTCTGCGTTGCCAATCTCCGGCACGACGTGGAAGTCACACTTGTGCGTAGTGTCTCTATGGTAAACCATCATCTTGTCGGAATGAGCACACACCCACTGATTCGATACAACAACGACGTCATCTGGAAAACAAAACAAAATTGAATGAAATGATCAGATAACTGAAAGTATTTCGACTAAACTATTGTGAAAAAAAATCATATAATATAATTATATGAAATGAACAATGAGTCTATGAATAAATAACAATAAAGAGAAACTGAGTAAGGAAACATTTTAAATTAATCAACAAATAATATAAATAAACCAAATAAATATAAATAACAAATAATAAATTATTAAAACAACCACATGCTGCCACCACGCCACCATAACTACTGTAGTAGTTAATGGGAGACACCACACGAATGATTCATGGCCAAATGCAAGACTTATCAAACAAGATGACCACTTGAATGAGATATAAACACACACAAAAAAGATGGATGCACCCGTGGGATAAACTGGGCATATGGTGTGCTATCATCTTTCTTTGAGAACACATCCCCAAACTTTAATAAAAACGGCCATGTCACCATGAAGTGATGGCACACCTCCAACAGTATGCTACTGCCACAATTTGTGTATGCAGCACTCCGTTCCTCAGGAGGGTGATTGATGAGATGTGGATGATGGAGACGGTTTTATGGCTGTGCGTGTGCAGTGGGGTGTGACTGGATGCTTGTGCACCGGAGTGTGCCGGATGTAGGATGCTGGATGCGCTGAGGTGTTGTTGGTTGCATGCTGCTGGTTGCTGGTGTGCTGAGCTGTGTTGGATGCATGCTGCTTGATGAGTTGTGCCCAGATGTCTTTGATGTGGAATCCGATGTCTTGAGTGACTGTGTTGTTTCAGTAAATTTCGATGGCTTCTCTGATGCGTCTTGGGTGCCAGTGGGTGACTGGAGCGATGATGCGGGCTTGGTCCTAATGGATGCGATGATCTTGCTCGCGTTAGTGCTTGATGATGGTTGACTTGTCGATTTCTCCTTTCCTGCCATGTGCTTGATGTTCCTTGATTCTTGTCTTGAGGTCACGTCCTGTCTCTCCGATGTAAACATTGCCGCATTCACATGGAATACTGTAGCCTCCTGCCATGGTATTCAGGTCTTGTTTGTCCTTGTGTGTCTTTAGTTGAGCTTGTATCTTGTGTGGAGCTGTGTGATAGACCTTGATGTTGGCTTGGCTGAAGACTCGTAGCTTGTGGGAGATGTGGCTGATGTAGGGTAGGGTGACCACACTACAAAAGTGTCGGTGCTGATGTTCTTGTAGCCGTTGAACTTGAGGATGTCTTAATGTGATGGAGCTCTTGCTTGAAATGGGCTTGGGTCGCAGGTGTTGTAATCTCGGCGGAGAAGGGTGTTGCTGACTGCTGACTTGAAGCCTGGGTGGTGGAAGGATGTCTTGTGTAGGTATCAGTCGGTGTGCGTTGGCTTGCAGTGAATTGTGTGGGAGATTGATGGAGCCATCCTCTTCCCAGGTGACTTGGACATCGAGGAAGGCTAAGGTGTTGTTCTGCTCTTGTTCCATGGTGAACTCGGGCAGTTTTGGGCGCTACAGTGACTAAAAGTTAAAATAAAATATGCAGGCCTGCACCAGAAATGGGTGCTAATACATGTACCGTTGAAAAGTGTTATTTAGCTAAATCATATTTTTGTTGTGTGATTTATATTTTGCATACATTTTGCTTTCACAATTTAAGTCTTTACAATTTGCAATAATTAGGTTTTGCCCTTCACCGACATATAACCACTGTCTACTCGGTGTGTTACACCCGAGTGACAGTTAAACAACCTCACGTGCTTGGTGGTCGAGTGGTAAGACGTCTGCTCAACAAAGCAGAAGGTTGTGGGTTCGATTCCCACCCGAGTGCTTTTGCTGACTTTCACTCAGGTTGAACACACTGAGTATACAGTGTTTGTATGTCGATGAAGGACAAAACCTAATATTGATGCAAATTCTATCTTATGAATAGTCTTTGCTACTTGATATGAACACTCTCTGATAGAAACGGTACATGACACTCATTTGAAAATGCTCTTTACAGGCCTGGCATATCTTTTAAAAGTAAAGGCCTCATTGGCCTACATGTAGGTTGGAAGTAACATGGCTTGACAGGATCATTTGCAAGTACTCAAAAATCTGCCTTTTGATGAGTTGTGCCCAGATGTCTTTGATGTGGAATCCGATGTCTTGAGTGACTGTGTTGTTTCAGTAAATTTTGATGGCTTCTCTGATGCGTCTTGGGTGCCAGTGAGTGACTGCAGCGATGATGCGGGCTTGGTCCCAATGGATGTGATGATCTTGCTCGTGTGAGTGCTTGATGATGGCTGACTTGTCGATTTCTCCTTTTCTGCCGTGTGCTTGATGCTCCTTGATTTTGGTCTTGAGTTCACGTCTTTTTTCTCCGATGTAAACATTGCCGCATTTACATGGTATACTGTAGCCTCCTGCCATGGTATTCAGGTCTTGTTTGTCCTTGTGTGTCTGTAGTTGAGCTTGTATCTTGTGTGGAGCTGTGTGATAGACCTTGATGTTGGCTTGGCTGAAGACTCGTAGCTTGTGGGAGATGTGGCTGATGTAGGGTAGGGTGACCACACTACAAAAGTGTCGGTGCTGATGTTCTTGTAGCCGTTGAACTTGAGGGATGTCTTAATGTGATGGAGCTCTTGCTTGAGATGGGCTTGGGTCGCAGGTGTTGTAGGCTCGGCGGAGGAGGGTGTTGCTGACTGCTGACTTGAAGCGTGGGTGGTGAAAGGATGTCTTGTGTAGGTATCAGTCGGTGTGCGTTGGCTTGCAGTGAATTGTGTGGGAGATCGATGGAGCCGTCCTCTTCCCAGGATACTTGGACATCAAGGAAGGCTAAGGTGTTGTTCTGCTCTTGTCCCATGGTGAACTCGATGAGGGGGGTGTTGCTGGTTGATGTGGTCAAGGAAGGTGTGGAGTTGTTCTGTGCCATGTGGCCACACTACGAAAGAGTTGTCCACTTATAGCGTAGTCGTATGTCTTGTTTCAAGTCTGCAGCCTCGATGGTGATGCTCTCAAACTCTTCCAAGAACTCATCACTCACATCTCATCACTCACCCTCCTGAGGACGGACAGAGCACACTGTCCAAAATGTCGAGTTCTACACTCAACCAACCGGTTCTTTTCAGACCCACACTTCTTCCAAGAAGAGATTTCTTTCCACATGGCCTTACCCAAAAAATTGCTCTATTTTATCTCATTCGCCATGCAAAGCTTCAAGTCATATACAACTCTAATGTGTCGGAAACAATATTCTGTACTCACCAGCTTAACTTTGCAAATGGATTTGAAAATATGATTGGAATAATACCTTTGGCAATGAAGAGTTAAAGTAACTGCTAAAAAAAAAAAGAATTAAACATTAATGCCACCATACTCTGTGTGCCTCAGTGTTTCATCAAAATGTAATTTGGAAACTGTTCTCTATTAATTTCATTTAAACACCATATAGGCCTACTTTGAACCATTAAAATGGCAATCTATTATTCTTGTGACATTATGGATGTTGTGCCAACTTTCTTACCAAAGATATTTTACTCTGTGTTTTCATGACTATCAAGAACTGTTAAAAATACCAGTAAAATGTGAATTTAATTCTTTTAAATACGAAAGCTCGGGAAATGTTTCAATAATATAGTACTCAAGTGATTTAGAACAGTTTTTACTTGTACACATATGTTTTTATTGATGATTCATAGCATGTGTCCCGACGGCCCGATATGGTAATAATTATAGTCGTTTCATACTTTGTCAACTCTATTATGTCTGAATCAATACTCGTCAGCTTAACTTTGAAATTTTGAGTTGGATGTGAATATTTCATGGGAATAATACTGAAGGCAATGATGAAGGATTAAAGCTACTGCCAACATTGATGAATTAAAAACAATTTGCCTCTTTAAAATATATTAAAAATGGCATTTTACTGTATTAGAGTATTGGTATACAGAACAGGTCTTAATATATACATGTAGGATACTTGGGGTTTGCTTTCTCTGACAATCAAATTGCTTGAGAGTCAACAAATTCAAATAATGTTGACTCCAATGAAACTTCTGCATTGTGCCACATTGAATGTCAGTTGGAAGACCACCTTACCACTGGCCAGTTGTTTGGTGGTTAGCAATGCTATTTTATAAGGGCACACTAATCAGTATTCACAGTCTTTTACAATCCCACAAGGACAAGCAGGACCTAAAGTGCAGCGTTAATGAATCTGCTGCGAATGTGGTGAAGTGCAAGACATCACCTACGGGACTCGGTGAATAAAGTTCCTTGGCAGATATGGGATAGTGATAAACTGCCCAACCTGGCACCAGCAAGGATCTATTTACAGCAAGCTGGCACTGGTTCCTATGGCTGAGCCACCACTAAGATATCGACATCCTGGTGGTGACATGTTTTAGCCCATCCTCACTGGACAGTCCGATGGGTCACCTATACCCAAGGACTCGGCACCCATAGCAATGTGTCCCCACTTTAGCAAGCTTACGGGTCTTCTATACCCATGGCATCTTACTCCTGTGCTGGGCCCAGGGACAACATACCTGCTTCGTTTACCTTCACTGGAGGAGCAGTAATGATTGACTGTACTCTGTGAGGAGCATCTCCATAGCCAAGGAGTCAGGAGTCATCCAGCCCTCAAGGATAGCACCAGCTTCTCTCGTCTCATTAGCATCTCCTGTCACTGATGATGCACAGAATGGAGACCAGGAGTCATGGAAACACGAACTTGTCCCAATTGCAGTTGCTAGGTAAGACTGTGCCATACTTTTTAATCAATCTTAAAAGAAAATATCTCGCAAGAAAAATGTGTAATTCCCATGGTGACAACTTATCTGAATAACACAGTGCTTGTTGGCCTCTACTTTTGAATGCCCTCATGTAAAGTTGTTTTTGTCCTGTGGATTAATTGTCTTGGTCCTGTGGATTACTTGTCCTGACTTTGAAACATTGCAAATCACAATATGCATCTAGTCAATATCTATGTTCATTCATTTAGTTGGCATGTTAACAGTGAAAACATGATATTTTTTCCATCGTAAACTATGTACCTTTCCACCCAGCACTTTGTCCAGTCTGGAAGCTGGCTGCCCTTATATGCTTGTACCTCTTTCCTGTTTGAATCAATCTTTCACCGAGAGTTTGGTCCGCTTTGATTCACTCAGGCCACTTTTTCCCCCTGTGTCCCTTTCTGTTGCCTTGATGAATTTGCCCTGCTAGTGTGTCATTATGTAGGTTGTGTTGCCTGACAAAATGACCAAATGTGGCCATATTCAAGGGAAGGTGTCACTGTTGCTGTTAGGCATACAGAGTGCATACTCCCATAAATATCACTTTCAAACAAACGTTTGATCTGAAGTGTAAAATCTCTTTAAAATGGTAATTCAAACCAAACTATGTCATCCGTCACTGACCAAATCTTGGTCAGCAACAACGTTTTCTGTAAAGTTACTGGACAAGCATTATCAGATAGTGATATTTCTGTGGCTTATATCTCTTCTCTTTTATACAAAGTCTGCAACTTCTCAGAGAGTTCTATAGTGTACATGTCAACCATTGCAAGAATGTAAAAAGAAAAGAGTTTTTAATCGGGTTTTTAACAATTGTGTAACATGGTGCACAACTTAAAAACAAAAAGAAAGAAAAGTTAGTACCACTTGATAAAAGAAGTCATTTGTGGAAGTCCCCCTCCCTATTTTTCACGTAAAACACCTCATAGTTAGGATTGAATGATGAAGATCTAATTTCCTATTAGTGAGAATATTTTTCTAGCTAAAGTTGTAATATGAAATGTTTGTTGTGTGGTGTATGAACATATGAAGAGTGTATTTCCAAAATGCGATATACACCATTTTCTTCCCTTTGAGAATCCTACTCTCCCCTGGCTGCCCAAAAGCACTTTAAATAGCTGTTACACAGGGTGTGCATAAAAAATGCATCAGTTACAAAACTGTGCTTAAATAAACAATCAAGGAACTATGATGATACAAGCTTTGGTAGTGTGTAATGCACTTGACCATCAGCTTTAATTTGAGACCAATTGCAATTTATGTTCTTCCGAATGGCTGAGCAATCTTTTTTTAAACTGATGATTTTTACATCTGTCATTCAATATAATTAACCCATTAGCATCTTGGTCTGTATTTTATTACAGTGTATTTATTCACTGAAAAAATGAATCATAGGGTGCCTTTAAGTAGCTCACTGGGATCGACTCTGTAAAGGGAGACGTTAGCTATGACAGCCGGACTAATCAAACATTCAACCATGGGCCATCACGATCCTCACGTGATGTCCGTACAAAATGCCCATTTCAGACTGGGTGTTAAGCTTGAGATTTACTGCTTTTTAGAGAGTTGCAAAAGTAAAATGTTGGGCTGGAATTACAGCCTCTAAAGTTGAAATTAACTAAATAAATAATTACCCTTTTGCTTGAAATCAGTTGATTTTTGGGTCCGCTCGATATTTTCACTGTCTAGCCGCCAAATTTGTTCGTTTCT